ATTCCTCTTGAAATGTCAAAACATGTGTGGCTACGAATCCCTAGAGGAAAGCCTGAGATTAGATAAGGGGCTCACGGATTCTGCTCCCACTTCAAATACGTCTGATGCATATTTTTAGAATAATTTTGGAGTTGTTATATATTTATTTGTTATTAAAGAGAGAGATAGCCTCTTTAAGTACGTTGTTAAGAATTGCTTATACTTAAAATAAATCTGTGTAGCTAGCATTTCAAAATGCTGAGTTACCCTCCCCCCCCCCTCCGAGAAAATATAAAAAAACATGAACTACATTTTACCGCATTTCCTTTTTCAAGCTTTAATTACTGTTCTTATTTATTTTAAAATCATTCTTTCAAGCAAAACGTCAATTTATGGACAAATAGACCATTGGCCCCAACCCCGGGCATGGATGGATTGGTCTATGGATGAATGGTACTGGTAGACCAAGAAAAATTAAATTACTTCCATTTTATTTACTGAGTGTATTTCTCTCGGTTTTCTGCGACTTTACAAGGAATCACTTTATAAAGTAATTCCCCGAACATACGCGATAGGTGGGTGAGTGATTGAATATTAATGTCGCACTCCCAGCTACACGAAGGCTATTTGGCGACGGACCGCGTAATTTGAACCATGGTCAGTGACGCGGACGACACCTGAGCTTGCACCCCCCCCCTCTTCTAACTACCACTCCACACCAACGGGAGGACGTTTGAGCTCTCGACAGATTTAACGTCATCGCTCCCCTACACGGCGGTCTTCAGTGGTACTGGGCTCGAACTCATGACATGCTAGCCATGATCCGATATCTTGGCTTCCGCGGCCACACGCGATAGGTGGGACAGAGTGATAAGTACGTAAGTCGAATTTGCGTAACTCGGGGCATGATTTCGCATATAAACATATATAAATTGCTTCTAGTTGGTTTCGGAGATGAAAGAAAATAATAATTTAGAAAATAAATGCTTCATAAATTCTTAGATTACACAAATATAAAATTGCAAGCCGAAGCTATCTTGTGATGTAGAAGTTTTCATAAAATCTAACCAAGTAGTCACAGCCGACTCAAAGCTTTTTTTTCTCCCGCAAAATTTCCTCGTAGTATGGTAATAATTTTTTTAATTTCTCGTTTTGTCGAAAAAATACTCTCATCGTTTGAATCTGCATTTTGTAAAATTTTAAACCCTTTTTCAATTAAACTGAGGCCTGTCAAATTACCAACAGTCATTCGATCTGCTGATTCTTCAATGTCCTTTCCTTTTAATCATGCATTTCTTTGAGTTTAGCAATTGTCAGCTCTTGACTATGGGAATCCAGCAGTTCTAGAACGTCATCCCTATCCACTTATGAATTTATTTGCCTGGAAAGATCGACAACTATTTCAGTCATATTACCAATTTCAAGGCCCTGGCAATGATTCCGCCTGGGGTTTAATGATGGAGGGAAAAAAAGACCAATCGATGTTATTTGAAAATTGCGTAAATCCCGAATTCGCGTAAGTCGAGGTATTAATGTATTCATTTTTTGTGTAACTCTATAGTATTCTGAAGGTATATTTAAATACAATTAAATAAAAACAATCACCGTCACCCCCCGCAGTGCGGTCTGCGGTGAAACTATCAAACATTGACCGGTCCACGGCGTAAAATATCTGAGGAGCACTGAAATAAGGGATTTGCTTTTGATTGAAAAATGGGTTATCGTGAAAGGACCTAACTTTAAGCTAGTCACAAGTTACTAAGTTGGCGCCCGAACTGATAACCCTCTCCCCAATTTTCCCCGTTATGCCAATGGCTGGGGTATCATGAGTTCGATCCCTGATGCCATTGAAGACCTTCCGTGCAAAGGAGCTGATACACGTTAAATCTATCGAAGTTCAAATTCCTCTCATTTGGCGTGATGTGGAAGCTCGGAGAAATTGATGTCAGCTCAGGTATCGGCTTCGTTACATGACCGTTATTGAAAGTTACTAGATATTGGGAAAAATATGCTGGAGATAAAATGAAAAAATGTACTACTTGTAAGGAATATATCTTTTTTTTACTCATCATCCATTTAATCCACTTCTGAGATACTCTTATTTATTGTTTTAAGTTTTGAGTGTACGGGGTTTTACTCTATTATATTATTTCTCACAGCAATGCCCCCCTGTTCATTTCCAGAAGTTTTTCAGATAAAAATGCAAATAACTTTTACTCTTAAGTGCATAACGGCTTTCATGGATGTAGTCGAAACGAAAGATTAGCACGAATTACTTTCTTTCCAGAAAAGGAATACCAACCACCACTAGTACGGCCTCAACGCACGCTTAACTAAAAGGATTACAACTTTTAGATTTAAAATAATATCCATGTTTTCGAATGAATTTTGAATCTCTGATTTCACACACAATCTTTACATTTAACATTTAATTACCTACTTGACTCAACTTTATACCTTTGTTACACTTCTAAATCTAAGGGCCCATAAATTCATTTCAAATTAAAAGAAATAAGTTTTTTTATTACTTCTACTTACAGTAGAACGTCTTTTATCCGAATCAATTGGGACCGTACATTGTTCGGAAAACCGAATGCGATCCATGCAGTGTATGAAACCGGACACTATACGAATATTGGAAAGCATCACATGCGGGAAACGTGCTTGTGAAGTCGCAATTTTACCTTTAATCTGGAAAATAATCACTTATTTTTCGCTGTACCATTGAACATCTTCGTTTTTCGCTTCAAGGTCTCTGATTCTCTTGAGTAGCAGCAGTAGTTGAGTACTGTTGTTGGTACCACTCCATAGCTGTCTGTAACACAGAAACGTGTCAGCATTTGATGGACCTTTGCTACTTTCGTTGTTGTTGTCCTCGTCTTCATCCGTTTCATCGTCGACAGGGTCGGGTTCTTCTTGCACGTCACAATCTTGTCATAATTTAGCATTCGAAATCCACAGTCTTCTGCATCGCTCCACTTTCTCCCTTCGCAAAACGGTTCAATATTTCAAGTTTTGTCTCCATGTTCAAGATGTTGCGCTTCGTTTTGAATTCGAGGCCATTGCAGTTCACAACTCAACAAAGGGCACGTATACACCCCCTCACTTGGAAACAAACTTACCTAATATTCCGCTCAGATGTTTACCAAATCACACAACTGAAATTCCCCAAATATCCTTCACATTGGATTTTCACGTCACTTTTGGCCTCACGTGAAACAACTGTTGAGCATTCCACTGTTCGAAAACGTATTCATATACAGTACATGTAGTTGACAAAAAAAAAAAACTGGTTTGGATATTTGACGCTCCGGATAATAAACGTTCGGATACACGACGTTCTACTGTAGTTTCTTTATGGGATATCTGGAATTTTAAAGTGGTCATGATCACGAAATGTAGCCCATCAGATCATGGGTTCGCATACTGGTACCATTAAAAGACCTCTTATGTATAAGAGTGAGTGAATATTAACGTCGAACTGTTCAGCAATAAGAGGGCCTTTGGAGACGAACCTCGTAATTTTGAAACATGGTCAAGCGACGACGATGACACCTGAGCTAGCACCACTTCTTCGAACTTCCATACCACACCAACGGGAGGACGTTTGAGCTCTCGACAGATTTGACGTGCAACGCTTCCCTACACGGCGGATCTTTAGTGGTACTGGGTTCGAACTCGTGACATGCCAGCCACGATCCGATACCTTGATCACTAGGCTACCACGGCGCCCTTATGTAGAAGAGACAATAGATGTTAAATCTATTGAGATCTAAATACCTCCTGTTGGCAAGATGAATAAGTTTGGAAGAGTGAGGTACCAGCTCAGGCATCATCCGATTTATTTTGGTTCAAAATTACGAGATTCATCACCAATAGTCTACGTATTGCTTTGAAGAATGATGTTAATTAAAACCAATCAAAAACAATCTGGAACTACAAGCATATTTTTTCGAGTGAGTAAGCATTTATTAACGTCGCACAATAAAGTAACACAAAGGCTATTGGCGACAAACCTCGCAATTTTGAACCTCGGTCAACATAGATTTTTCGAATTAAGGCCTATGTCTTAGACTTCCGTTAACTTATCGAGATTTTGTAAAAATCCCTGAAACTAAATTCAGCGGCGCAACAGTTTATAGAGAATCAAGGCCTACTGACCTACTACTGAAGTTTTCATGACCTTGGGCATTGAGGTGCAATTCCAGATGTGGTCATGGTCGGTTAGGTGGTCAGCCTGACGTAAAACCATCAGTTCCCAAGCAAGCTCGGTACTCATATTTCAACCCACGAAAGGGATAGAAAGCTGAGTCAACTTTATCTAGCCCTGTGTTTGAACTATAAACTTGTTGCATGGAAGCGCGATACACTGCCACAAAATTTCCTAATGATTTTCAAAAATTTAAATTTTCTTTTTGGTATTCTTTGAAAAAAGATTATTTTGAATTGATAGAGTTAATTAAAAAAATTTAACTTTGCATTAACTAATTCTGATCAACGAAACCAAACTTGGGGGGGGGGGAGCACGAAGAAGAAATACAGGAAAATAAATATTTTTTAAAAACAATGCATTCAAAAGTAGACAAAAGTGATCACAACAAATACGTACAGATTACAGGTTCTGAGTTCGTAATCAGATAAGGGGGGGGGGATGTCAATCGTACAAATTGCTACAAGTTGAAACGATAAGATGTTAAATACAACAAATAATCACTCACAACGACAATTCGGTGCATCATACACCTGATTATATCCCACGTGCGATATACTCTGTATTTGTATATTCTTATCATTTCTAATTCTTTATATCAATTTCTACCATTCATAAATGACTCCACGTTCGAAGGCGTACAAATTGGCACAAGGCATTGAAAACAATACTATTGTTACTTATGAACGATTAGGCAGGAGATTATAACAGAGAGATATGAACGGGGGGGGGGGCGGGTTTCACCATTCAGAAGGGAAATAGGAATTTGAGAAATGATTACAAGTTAAAAAAAATATATTATTATTATTAAGCCTTATGCCACTCCACCTAGTATGATGGTTATGACAATCGGCTTGTCTTCGAGGGGGCTCGGGTTCGAGTCCCGAATAAGGCATAGATGTACAATCCCTCAAAAAAGTATTGGGATACTTGGCATGCATAACTGTAAAGCCAATTATAAAAATATTTATCACATTAAAACAAATAAATTAAAAGTAAAAAAAACCTTTTTAAAACCAAGCTTTTATTTAAATGCGCTAAAAAGAATAAAATAAACTAATTCTGTAAAACTTTTTTTACTATCAACTTATAACGTCATTACACAAATTATATGATATAAAAGCTCATCGCGGATTAAAGTACTCTTATTTACTTAGTTTGAAATTTTTACAAATTAAAATGAATCAGATCAGTTTACTTGTTTATATGCAATAAATCTCGCGACAAGCTTTTATATCATATAAATTGTGTAATGACGTTATAAGTTGATAGTAAAAAAGTTTTACAGAAAAAGTTTATTTTATTCTTTTTAGCGCATTTAAATAAAAGCTTGGTTTTAAAAAGGTTTTTTTTTTACTTTTAATTTATTTTTTACTTTTTAGTTATCACTGGACAGGTTTCTCAGTCTGTTCATCTCATTCAACATATCATTGTTGCTAGGTCGTTTGCCGGTTATTTTCGAACAGTCTAGCTAAATGAATTCCCGCAAAAAGAGTACAAAACGAAAAAACAAAATTTTGATCTTAAATCTGTAATTTTTAAGCATTTTTTTCAATCTTCGTACAGATCTTGGGTAATATTGTTATACACACACAAAAAAAAGTTTTATGAGATTATCTTCATAAATGACGAAGTTATTAAATGTTTAATAAAAATTTTGAGTATTTTTTTGATAAATCGTAAAAAAAAAAAGTTTTCGGCATTTTATTTTTAAATTACTTATTCTAAAAGAGCAAAGCATAAGCTGTTTTAGTACGGAATGTTGATTCATTTAAACAAAAAAAAAATTCATGCGCAACAATTTAGACATTATTTTCATAAAAGCGCATCGATTGTGACTCATTTAAATAAATCGTAAAAAATACAAATATTATTTTGTGAAAAACATTATACCATATCGGGACGAAGTAAATGATCTTTCCAATTCCGTAATTTTTTTGGTCTGATTTTCATAGATTAAAAGATAAATTTTTTGAAGAATTTCTACAATACTCCATCTCAGTTTAACTTGGCAGCATTGAGAAAGGAATACAATGTACCGATCTACTTGAAAAATAGCTCTACTTTTTTTGTTTTGAATTTAAATCCAAGAAAATAGATAGAAATTTGTAAAAAAATTGCATACGTTGTAGAAATTACATTATTTTTACGTTGTAGAAACGTATAACTATTTTTTAGACAAAGCTAATTAATACAGTAAATAGCGCAACGTTATGAAATTCCAGTTTGGCTGAAAACGATTTTCGACGCCAACTTTTGTTATTGTTGTAACAATAACATTATTACAACAATGCAGACACATCAAAGTTGATCTGTATTGTTGTAGTAATGTTAATGATTTTTAACGTTTTTAATTAATATATTCTTAATTAATTGCAATATCGGAATATTAATGGTCAAAACATGCATTGTCATCCAAACTAAACGTGTATACAAAATTTCAGCTGAATGGGATAAAGATATCAGCCTTAAAATTGAGTTGCAAATTCCACCCGAACAAATTACATACATACATACATTGTAAGTTAAATAAAAGCTTGTAAAAAATGAATTAAGAAATATATTAACATTTTGTGTACAGTATATAAGGAAAATTTTAGTAGTATTATAGAATTATAATTTGATCTAGCTTTTCAAATATAATTTAAAGGCACACTGGAGTCAAAAAAGTACTTGAAATTTAACAAATGTACTGTGCATCAATAGGATTTAATTTCACACCGCTTTTTTAGACTAGAAGTTTAAACAACACACACACACACACACACACACACACACACACAGAACACACACACTATATATATATATATAAGTTTATAGAAAACATGGCGAGAAACAAAGATATATCGATTGATGTGCGAAATCTCATAATAAGTCATTGGAAAGAGGGGAAATCAGTTCGCTGTATAGGAGAAATCTTTAAGTTGAGTAAGTCTACTGTTTTTTAACATCATTGACAGGTTCAAGAAAACAAATGGTGTTGAAAACAAGAAAAAATCAGGGCGTACAAGGATATTTAATAAACGTGAAGAGAGATGTATTATGAGACAAGTGCACATTAATCCAAGAACTAGTTCAGTAAAAAGGACTTTTTAATGTAAAAGTAGTTCGGAAAATCAGTCAATCCTCTCTATCTCTCTCTGAAACTGTCAGAAATATTTTAAGAAAACATAAGTATCATGGCAGAGTACCCCTAAAAGAAAGGCCTACATCAGTAAAACAAATAGACAAGATAGGTTGGCATATGAAAAAGGTATGCAAGGCAGCCAACAGAATATTGAGAAAATGTATTTTTTGTTGATGAAAAGCAAATATAACATTTTCGGATTAGATGGCAAGCGAAAAGTTTGGCGGAAATCAAATACAGCAATTCATGTCAAAAATTTACGGCCCACTGTCAAATATGGAGGGGGTAAATAAATTGTCTGGGGCTGCATGACACGCAATCGGAAACTTACATTTTATTGATGGTATAATGAATAAATATGTCTATCTTGACATTCTCAAGAGAAATTTAAATCAAAGTGTGAGCAAGCTGGAATCTCAGGACATTTTCAATTGTACCGAGCTAATGACCCAAAACTTACTGCAGATATTTGCAAGTTATGGGTCCTCTACCACTGTCTTAGTGTTATTAAGACAACTGCACAAAGTCCACACCTTAATCCCAGTGAACACGTGTGGGATTATTTGCAGCAAAAACTATATGAGCACTAAATTTCTAACAAGCAGGATTTAAAAAAAATATTTGGTCGAAGAGTGGATCAAAATCGATAGATCGTTTTGCAAAAAAATGATCCGATCCGTGCCAAATAGACTTCGAGAGGTCATAAGAAGTAAGTGTGGCCCAACAAGATATTAATTTCTAAGATTAAATTGTTTTTCTTAATTTATTGGGAAGTGTCCCAATATTTTTGAGCACGTTTGTTAACTCGATTTCTTTTACTTTCAATTTTAACCATAATTGCATTAATGGACGAGAGAGAGAGTTTTGTTCAAATTATTATTGTTTGTATTACCAAAATAAAATTTACTTCTTTTTTTGTTTCATTTGTATGTTTAAGTAAAATATTACGATAAAAATCTTTGAACTGGTAGCGTGTCCCAATACTTTTTTGTTAGACTGTAGATCATCCAGTTAAAATTGATGAGACGTTTTTACTGAACTCCCCACAGATATTTGGTTCGAACAGGTACAAGAAGATTAAATCATTAATAAATAAATATGAAAAATAGCTTCTTTAGAATCCCATACATTAAGGGTGTCAAACTCAAAGGCTAACTTGGGCCTAAAAAACACGGTTTAAATTTAGGTGGGCCGTAAAAAAATCAATATTCCAAAAGAAACGTAGATTTATTTCGAATAATACATTATAACAAACATATGTACATAAAAGAGCAAGAAAAATGCAATGTTTAGGCCCTGACACTTGGTATCTGTTTTCTGCTGCAATTTTTCCTATTTCGGGAGAAATTTTGATGCTTTATCAAATATTATTGTGCGCCGATATAGTGGCTGGGCCGCAAAAATGTATGTTGACCGCGAGTTTTATACTCCTGCCATACATCATTTTAAATTTCTTGTCAGATATTTCATGACATGAAACCATGAAATGTTGAACTTGAGCGTCGGAAATTGAAGATTGTCATTCTGGATCATAGGGCTACGCGTCATACGAGTATATATCTTTTCGCTTTCCTCTTTCAATTGTGTTTCTGAAAATTGAGACGAACAGTCTATAAGTCTGGTATTAATAAAAAGCAGGAAAAGTTGACAAAAATAAATATTATTAAATACAGTAGACACTTTAAAATACCCGAAAATAACCATATTCTTGTTTCTCGGTACGTGTGCGACATACTCTAATATTCATTGAGTTAGTAGGAAATAAAATCGAAGACCTCCATTCGGAAGGGTGGAGGCTGATGTATGCTAAATATGCTTTGACCTCACGAGTTGTTTAAACTGAAGTGCCTACTCATGTTTCGTTTTCGTCATACATCCGTGATTCGCATGTATTGAGTCACACATCACTCATAAATTTATTTATTACGCTCAGGAGCATATCAAAAGCTATTTCCCTTGATTTCGATAAAATAAAGCTACTTCAATTTCATCCAGTTAAAGAAATTAATTACGAAATATTTGTGTTTTTGATTCAAAAATTGCTAAAGGCGTCTTTTTTCCAGTCCAAACAACTTATTTATAATGTTTGTTATTCAAAAGCTAATTCACACACACATAAATTTATTTTACTTTTTAATTTTCACGTGTTAATTTCCGATTTCAAATTAGATCCGGATATAGCAGAAATTTAAGCTTTCCTTTGTTTTGTATAATTATTTCATTATATTTTTGTGCTTTAGCGTGAGTGAGTGAGTGAATATTAACGTCGCACTGTTCAGCTACACGAGGGCTTTTGGCGACGGTCAGCATAATTTTGAACCCTGGTCAAGTGACGCGGACGACACCTGAGCTGGCACCCCTCTCCTAACTACCACACCACACCAATGGGAGGACGTTTGAGCTCTCGACAGATTTAACGTGCATCGCTCCCCTACATGGAGGGTCTTCAGTGGCACTGGATCGAACTCATGACACGTTAGCCATGATCCGATTCCTAGACCACTTGGCTACCGCGGCTTTTGTGCTTTAGCATAGTTATCTCAATGTTTTTATTGTTATCTATGACCGTAATAACCTAGTGGTCTTGATCACGAACTCGTGGCTGGAGGGGCATGAGTTCGAAACCTGGTGCCGCTAAATACTTTCATGAAGAGGGGCTGATGCACATTAAATTTGTCGAGGCTCAAAATTCTCCCATTGGTGTGGTGTGTATTTATGGAAAGGATGGTGCCAGTTGAGGTGTCGTCCTCGTCATGCGAGAACATGTA